ACTTCACACATAATGGTTGTGACGCCTATGGCCTGAAACATTTCCTTCAGTGAGTACAAATCATGTGTCATAATATTAGATGATAACTGGGTGCTAATGGAGCCATTAGTGTTAGTCTGTTTTTACTGGAGTAACACTGAGAGGAAACTGGTGAGAGCAGTATAATTTTCCAGTGGGTGTGGGAATGAACTGGAGGAAGCACTTTCTCCTGACAGTAATTCAGCACCATTAAGTGCGACCCCTGATGGTTTCTCATATCTCAGTGAGAGGCTGCTGAGCACCGCTGGTTCTGACTCAGTGGACTTTTCTACTGCAGACGTAACGTGTGGGCATCAAACGTAATATTCATTTTCCTGCAGGTCTCCAGCAGAGAGACATCAAATTAGAAAAACACAATAAAATCTTTATATACTTCAAAAATAAATACTGTATCGTATCTTCACTTTCAGCTGCTACCTGCTACATGAGCTGAGCAGGAACTGTACTTTAAATGTTTCAAATAAAGACAATATAGATTTTCCTCTTTTTAAAAGTTATATTTATGTGACCAATCTATTCTGCATTCCCAAACGTCACCATTGAAATTCAACCACATGTGCGTTAAACTTCTTACATTGTTTTACATAAAAAATACTACAAATAGACAAAATGAAAATATGTGAATGAATAATTCTCGTTGGTTGACTGTGGACATTAAAATTATTTTAAAGGTCCTATATGCTGCAGCGTTTGTGAAGTCTCACCTCGTTTACCGGAGCGTCTTGCACAGCGCGTGGTTTTGGATTTTTCAATGATTTTGATGTGGGAGGGGGTAGAGAGTGTCTTGATGGCAGAACGATGGATCAGTGGTTAGCATTGCTGCCTCACAGCAAGACGGTCCTGGGGTTCCTGTGTGGAGTTTGATCTCCTCGTGGGTTTTCTCCTGGTACTCCAGTTTCCTCCCACAGACCACAGACATGCATGTTAGTCTGACTGGTAACTCTAAATTGTCTCTAGGTGTGAGTGAGTATCACTGGTTGTCTCTTGGTGTCTCCCACCTCTTCACTGCTGGATATGGGCACCAGTGACCCCAGTGACACCGGTGACCCGGAAAAGAAGAAGCATGTAAAGATAATGGATGGATGGGATTATTTGTACGAGTATGTTTAATCTTATTGATTTTCTTTGTTTTTTTTTTTATTATTTTCTAAGCTCAAAGTTAAATGTATTTGTTGATTTATTTTAGTTATGTGATGGAAAACAATAACTCGATGTAACCTCCGTGTATGTGACAACCTTTTTGAATCTTGAATTCGTTCGCTCCCCAGATGTCCCCTCGGTGAGATGTTCTCAGCGTTCCACAAGATCAAATCTTTTTTCGGAGCAATCGTTCCAAACGATTCGCTCGCTCCAACGTTCCAGTCCTGAAATCCCAGTTTCCATCCAAGGATTATTTGGGTTTTATTCAAATCTGCCCAGTCATTCATGCTTCAGACATGTTTTTAAAACTGTGCTCGTTAACGCTCGGTGTGTTATGAATCAGGCTCAGTTACTACCACACCAAGTTTAAGGTCAATATCTGTCAAACTAATGGACTTTTTATTTGTGTTTGATAAAGTCGCTTAGGTGTGGCCGCCATCTTAAATGTGGCTGACTCCAAAAGTTAAATCAGTTGTAAACAAAGTTTAAAGTTGTTAATGAACTATTTCACAAACACCATCAGGGAAAAATAAAAACATTATCACCCCGCGGTGGGAGATAAAGACGCTCATTAAACAAAAACTTTTGAAATATGAATTAAAAGTCTACTTTATCTCATTTCCTCCTCCGTCTCGCGCGGGAAGCTTGCTGCTCTCTGATTGGCTAATGCTCAACGAGTCTTAATTAGTCGGCTCGCGAGCAGGTGACGCCTTATGAGCGCATGTTAGCCAAAAAAGTCTGTTCGGAGCGGCCATGTCTTGCAAGCCCAAAACGGGATTAAGTTTTATTTTAATTGTCAGCGTTTCTTTTTATCCGTTCCAGCCTTGTTGTTCAGTCAGTTTAGGACGAAGGAAAGATGGTTCAATCACTCACCGAGTCGACACCGAGCCGTCGGACGGCTGGGAAAGGACTGAGCGCGAGCACCGACCGTTGGGGCTGTCTCGCGCGGTTAAACAGGTGACATGGAGCCCGGCGCTGCCCAAACCTCTGCCGGGCCTCCCGCAGCCTCGGACCAGCTCCTCCTCTGCTGATAACACGCACGCCAGCGCACCAGCACCGGGTCAAACTGGGACCAACTTCACGCTGGACAGCACCTGGACCAGAGGTGAAGTCCGGCCGCAGGGACAGCCCTCTGCGGACCCTCAAGATGGATACCAAGCGGACTTTGCAGGTCAAAAAGAAAGTCTTCATTTGGTTCTGTTTAAAAGTCTAGAGCTTCTGGAGATGAGCCTGTCAGATAAATACACATTGTCTTTAAGTATTAAAATTAGAAATAAAGAAATGCAAGTGAACGCAGCATCAGGGTCCATGCTGAACGTCCTGAAGGATGCATATCGCCCGCCTCAAATGTGGTCTTTGGTGGAATCTCGTGTGATATCGCGAGATCTCGGTGAACGTTTTAAATGACTGTTGGCAAATGATCTGTTTGACTGAGTTAGGTTTTATTTATTAGTCTAGTTGGCTCTAAACGTGAATTGGGTTGGCTCTAATTTATTTTATTGTAGTCTATGTCCACTGATTTATTAAAGTCGGTCAGTAATTATTTTTTTATATAGCACCACCATTTACAGGCCAGAAACCACAAAGTGCTTCACAGAATACAAGCCATAAAAACACAAGATCAAATATAAAAACACAAATGATTAAAAAAGTGTATAAAACTAATTAAAAGCCAATCTGAACAAATGTCTTCAGCTGCTTTTTAAAAGTATTAAGAGAATCAAGGCAGCGCAAAGACGGAGACGATGCATTCCACAGTCTGGGGGCCACAGCCCTAAAAGCTTTATCCCCCCCTGGTCTTAAAATGAGTCCGTGGGACCATTAATAGCTTTTGACTGGAAGATCTGAGGCTCCGTGAAGAGGAGTAGGGCTCCGAAAGGTCAGAAATATAGACTGGGGCTTGACCACTCAAGGCTCTAAAAGAGAAAACTAAAATTTTAAAATGACTTCTAAAATGTACCAGTAGCCAATGTAAAGAGATTAACACTGGTGTTGTGTGCTGTCTTCTCTGTGTGTTGGTTAAAAGTCTTGCAGCAGCAAGAACCTACAAGAACCATTCTGAACTGTCTGCAAATGATCGAGATCCTTCTTGGTCAAACAAAGGAAAAGACTGGATGTAATAAAAGCAGCTTCACCAGGTTTTATTCTACAGGCAAACAGACGAAGCCTTTATTTGGTGGACGATAATGATGATAAAGACGGTTATGAGTTAAAATTTTGACTAAACTTTTGGTAAACTTTTTAAATGTCCACAAACTGTTCAACAAAATTACTTTAATGTTCTACTTTTTCCAGTTGTTACAATTTACTTTTCATAATTTAAGCATTTTTTTCAGTAACTTAGGAACTTCCTGCGGATGACATTAATTTAACCTCCAGTCCTAATGTAATACCCTTTGTGTTGTTTTTGATCAGGATTTTGTTGCCTCCTTCCACCTGAACAATATCACTAAAACTAAACTAAACATCTCGTCCCAGAATGATGCAGATAAACTGATCCAAGCATTTATCACGTATGGCCTTCTTCTTGTTTGTACAAATGTCCTTCAGCCGACCTGTTTTCTTCTCCCTTGCATAGACACTACACCTGGACCAGTCCTGTGTTTGTCTTTCCTGTCCTCTCTAACCCCATCCACGATCCTGGTTTTGGTTCTGCTGGAGGCGTCTTCCTGTTTAAAGGAAGTTGTTCCCCTCCACTCTCGCCTCAGTGCTGCTCAGGAGGATTCGACAAATGTCACGATTCTGCACAGTCCTCCTAAGATATAATTTCCTGATCGTCACATACAGTATCTTGTGTTTTTATAATTGGAATTAATTGTCTGCAATTGGATTTTAATGTGGCTGTGTTTTTAGAAAAGGAAAATAGATCTGTGCTTAATTATTAGAGTGCCCTGTGACAATTTCTGTTGAGAATTAAGTGTTGTATAAAAAACTGTATTCAACTGATAGTAATGTGAATTAGTATGTAGTACATAATTGAAAAGGGATTGTAAAAAAAGTATAAGTTTCATGTTGTATTTTTCTGTTGTAGGTTTTTCTAACAAACGGGGGAAGATCTGGGGCCTGTCGCGTGACTCCAGTCCATATTCCTCTGACTGGGAAGCTATGCAGCCTTTGGTTGAGTGCAGTGATGATGGCATGACCTTGACTGTTTCTGGTCATGGATTCACACACCTGCAGGTGGACAGAAGTAAGGGCCTCTGGTCTTTATAACGAAACTTGGATTCAACACACACATTTCAAACAATAATAAAATAATGAAATTTTCATAATGTGCCTTTTTTGTTTTTGCTAAAAATACACATTTGCCATTTTAACTTTTTCAGTCTGCAGTTTTGTCATCAGCCACTTCAGTTGTAAAATGTCTAAATATATAATCTGTGAAAGCTCTGTGATTTCTGCAGGTTTTACAAGAAGACTGACGGTTCTTTAGCTTGAATCAGTTTGTTTTTCTCCACAGAGAGCTCCTCTCCCATCTCTGTCTTCCAGTTGCCCTCCTCCTGTGGTTACTCAGTGAAGGCATCATGGCGTAATCTGGAGATGATGGTGCCGTACGATGGCTGCTACATCCACCAGGAGGTACCAGCAGTGGCTCACTTTTATCCCTGTCCACAGTACACTGGTGTGTTGTGTCCATCAGAGCTGGTTTGTTTCTTCTTTGTCAGGATGACAGTTATGTGCTCCCCTTGCTGTGGTTGGGCAGTCCAGTAAAGCTGTCCTGCCCGAGGAAGATGTCCTCAGTGCCCACCTCGTTCTCCCTGGCTGCCCCTTCAGTCTTCTGCTCCAGCTACGGCATGGCAGTGCAGATACAGGGACAGGAGCACAGTCTACCTGTGCTACGTACCATAAGTATTTACACCAGTGCTTTTTCACTTCATCTGTTGAAGCTAATCTCATTGTTCAGTTCAATCCACTTATGTTGCAGTGGACAGTATGGCCTTTCATACTTAAAATCTACAGAGTTATTAGTTAACCTATATCTACCACAAGGGCACACTTGAGCCCTTCACACTGAAAAGGTCCCTTGTGATGATTAGAAAGTACCATCTTGATTGGCTAATATTCACTTCAGTCAATGACAGCCGCAGCTTCACACACAATCAAACCTCTGCATGTGTGGCAAATATGATTTTATACCCATTTAAGAGCATCTCTGACTCACATTACCTCATTTTCCTGCATTTAGACATAATTGTTGACTGTGCAAAGAGGAGAATCACAAATGCAGTGTATTTTTGTACTTATTTGCATATTTGAATGAAGGCGTGTCAGGGGAGGTGTCTGATCTGTGCTCGGTTCCACCGTTGTCCAGATGAGAGCTATGCACTCTGACATGAGGCCCCTGGTCTCTGGAAGTTGCTGTTGACATCACCAACAGTTGTTTTAGGGTTCTTCTGTTGTGAACTGCTGCTGTTCTCCTTGGTCTTCTGTTTTGACATCTGTTACTGAGGACACCAGTGTGTTCTTTCTGCTCCAAGACATTTCTAATGGTTGGACTGGTATTGGCTAATGTTTATGCAACAGCTTTGACAGATTGTTTTTCTCCTCTCGGCTTCACAAGCTTTCTCTCAGCTTTATTTTTCACCCGTAGACAGGTCTCTGGTTTTCATGTTGGTTTCACTTGCATGGCCTATAAATGCAGACCATACAGGAAGAAAAAAACCAATCTGAAACTGAGACATTCGGCACGATTTGTTTGCATAATCAATGCAACATGACACACCTGGACAACAACAAACCTGTCAGCCACTTTGCTCTAGTCTAGTACTTTCGCTCAGCAAAAAAAAAAAGGGTGTTTTATTGCTATCTTCTAAGATGTCCAATCCAGGTACATAAGATGGAAATTGAAGCTGAAATGTTGCCTTTTTTCAAATTCACCCTTGGCTGTCAATCCCAAATGTATTCAACAAAACTGTATGAACTGGCCTCACTGTTTCCAGTACTGGTACTTTGAGGGAGTGTAGCTCAGGGCTGATTTATTATCTGGAGTGTTTAATCATCCTGCTGTATATTACAAATTATGCAAAGTGTTCAGTCCTGCAGGTGAATTTATTAATCTGTCTTGATAAACACAAAAGTTACGAATTAATGATGGTGATGACAAAAACAGTTTACCAGAAGGAATGCAAATTGGCTCAGTTTCAAACTCTGTATTGGTAGCTAAACCCAAAAGATACCGTTTCTTTTCTAAAGCTGACAATCACAGAAATGTGTACAATCTGTTTTACAGTGAATGGAGCAAGAGGTCCATTTGTATCTGAAATGTGCGCATTCCAGGTTGACTCCCAACCTCAAGAGTTTACCTTTCTCGTTTCCCACAGTGCTCCTTGTGTCACTGCAGATGTAAGATTTTTTTTTTAAAGAGGTTTTATTACAAATTTGCTGTTGTGGGGGAAAAAAAAGTATTTGTAATCTTTTGACAGGATGGTCTGCAGCTTCATCTTGTTTTAGACAACGATCGGTATCTTCTCTCCTGCCCAGTCATTGCTCAGTTTCCCAGTTCCCCCCCTCTACCAAAGTTTTCATTTGTGTCTCCTGGTGATCTTCAGTCCTCTTACAGCCCAGATACCATCAAACCCAGCTCCTCATTTTTTCCTTCTCCTAAGACTTCAGACCAGAAGCAAACTGTCCATCAGCAAAACTATTCCCCCTACCCTGGCCTCCGGTACCACCAACTGCCGCAAGTCTCTCCTCCTGCCCCACAACCCCCCCATTCACGTCAGTTCAGCATTGACAATTTCCCCAAGTCCCAGTTGTTGGAGGAGTACCCCTCTAGATCTGGAAAATTGTCTTTTTCTTTTGATGGGCACTATCCTCATTCTCATTACTATTTTCCAAGGAAAGGTCCTTCTCCTCAACTTTTTAATTCACCTGATCACCCTTCTAAATACCCATATGGTCTATATTATCCTTACTTGCAATTTTCTCCGATTTTCTCAACCCCAGAAGAAAAAGAAATTCCCAAACCTCGAGCAGGTTCTTTTCCAAAGTACTACCTACAGACATCTTACCATTCTATAACCACAGCAACACCTGTTACCCAAGTTCCAGTTACTGTCCCCACTCCAGTCTTTCCACCAGAACGACCTGAAGGTCTCCCACATCAAGCCAAACCTCTGTATCCACTGCTCTCTTACAACCAAAAGCCAGGGTTGTATCCTGCTCCAGATCTTTATGCTCATCTGCTCTTTAGTCCCACAGTCGGTACCACTGACCAGTCTAAACATCCATCTGGACAACTGGATCTGCAAAATTATTTTTACTTTCAGCTGCCTTCACAGGTTCCACTCACCAGAAAGAAACCTAGGAAACCAGTGGCTCCACAAGGATATCACTACCTGATACCACATCTCTCTTTGCCCGTCTCTCCAGAGTTTCAACCCCAACCTCCTTTTTCCCTCTATCCAAAGAACGAACCACGTTCCCTTTTGCCTCTCAATCCAAAGATCCTTGCTTATCTCCCTCTGCCACTCTTTCCAAGAAACTTACCCCATCCAACTTCACCCTTAGATCCAAAGAACCTACCTCATCCAACTTCTCCCTTGGATCCAAAGAACCTACCTCATCCAATTTCACCCCTTGAGCCAACAAGCCAACTTACAAAGACAAAAACCCCTTACACTACCAGCATATTCCCAGACTTTCCTTCTTCTCGAACTCCACATCTTCAGTGTCTAAAGGACAAGATGGCTGTATTTTTGCCTTTTGCTGACCCAGAATCCCTTCAAGTCAAAGGTCAGTATTGTACAAACATAAGCTTTTGTTTTCTTTAGTAGAGTACAGTTTTATCTTGTCAATTAAAAATCAAAACAATACGTTTTTTTTTTTTTTTATTAATACTTAAAGAAAGAACCATTTTCCAAAAGCAAGTTTAAAATGCGATTGAAGAAGATGGTTACTCTAAAAACAAGAATTACCATAACTTATACAAGAAACTGTTTTCTTTTTTTTTTCTCATTGGGAAATTGTAAGATTTAAGTTTAATATAGAGGTTGTTTCCTTTATGCTATAGCTTTTACCACGTTTCTTTGTTTGAATCGTTCATATTAAAATATAACCCTCTTGCTCATAAACCCTGTAACATGATTTTAGAATTAACTTTTACTTTTTGATGTTAAAGTAAAATGTGATTGTTGCTGTAACTTCACTTTTAAACCTCAGATCACATGGGTACATGGCAGTTTGTCTCCAGTGTGTCCCCCGGCTGTAGGTACAAGTTGCGGAGGCTTGCGGACTACAGGTTAATCGTCTACTCTCCTCTGCCTGCCTGCCACAGCAACTTACAAGTAAGACAGAGTTTGGTTGGTTTTCATAGCTTCAAAGGTCTTCATCCTTATCATTGATCTAAATGAAACCACACAAGTTCTTAGTTATGAAATAGAATGCAACAAATGTTTCGTACAGCAGTAACTTTAAGTTGCATGCTCTTAATGTATAGGCAAATTGCAGGAACATGACAATCTTAAGAATATGGAAAACATTACTTTGTATATTTATAATTTTACTAAAAAGGTAACATACTAATAAGGCAAATCTAATATTATTTTTTTGCGCACTGGTTAGGCTCTGTCAGATTGTTTTTATTGTTGGGATGTAGTTGCATTTTTCCAACGTTAAATTTTTTGCCATTTACAAATAAAAGTTTGATTTTCTATGTTAAAATGATCTTTGCTTAAAATGGGACCTACTACAACTACACCTTTTAATAACAAAATGAGCTGCTGAGTCTGGGAGTTTGTGCTGATTTATTTCTGCTTGGAGGCTGAACAGGGACCAGCAGTTGTTTTATTGGCAGATTATATTTGTGATGGATCTGAGAGACAATAAGTCAGTTGTGCAGCATGCATCTGTGCAGGTGTTGTCTGTGCTGCTCGGCTGATGAGAACTCTGTTCTTTTCAGTACAGCTAAATTCACACACTTTATTTTTAAATGCAGTAGCTGGAAACTATGCGTGGTTGCTCCTAGAGAAATTTGTTTTCATTATTGATTTCTTTCTCTTTAGACTCCCACGACTTTTTCCTTACCCATCAAGTATTGGGACTTTTCCATTCGGCAGAATATGACTCTGAATCTGCAATGCCCATATCGAAGCAGCCATGAAACTCAGAAAATCCCTGAAACTCAAGCCCCGGTCGATCCGCACAAACCCCTTACTCCACGGATCTCCACTCTCCTTCAGACTGACGTCAAGACTGAAGTCTTCTGCTCCTCCCATCAGATGAAAGTAATACTTCCCCCTGGTCCCATTTCAGAAGTGGTTCTTACAGGTGTGTGCATATTCATGTTGTAAGTACCGAGTGCATGTGGTACCCATCAGATCTGTTTTAACTGTTCAGGGTGCAGTGCCCCAGATTTGTTCTTGTCTCGCGTTGCAGAACGAAAAGGGGAAATTGGAAATATTTTCAGTCTGTCCGTGCTTGTTGTGCACATGAAAAATAAGTGAGGTACATATTTCCATTTTGGTGTGTTGCTACATTAAGGCAAAAGGGTTCCTTTTAAAAATTAAAGTTGCCAGTTCAAATCCAAGATGGCCACCACACACACACACACAAATAAGTAATAAGCTTAAGGAACAAGAGGTTCCTTTTTGAAAACTGGGTTGCCACATCAAAATCCAAGATGGCTACCACTATCATTTGAAGAAACTATGCTTTATAGGTTTATTACCTAAAAGTATAGGTTCCTCAAATTTTATCCACAAAATTGCTCGCTGTGCCAGGATCCATCACTCTGCGCTGCCTCAGACAAGCAAAATGTAAAATAAACTTTTTTTTTTTGTCCAGTGTAACTCCTACTCACTTGAATACCTTGTTTCAAAAACATTTAAGGTTTACTTCATTCCCTGTTTTAATTCCAGTCCTGAAAAACACTCATCTTAAAAGCTACAAACATTCACTATTGAATTCTTCAGCGATGGGGGACATCAATGTACCGCATGTTGGTTTTGTCTTTGTTTTTGCAAAGCTGTATATTTACATTTGGTTCCATACATGTATTGTAGATGGCAAAGGGAAGACGATGAATTTCCTCGATGTCCCAAAAAACTGCGGGTATTTTGCAAGCAAAAACAAGGATGGCGAGATCCTTCTGATTCTCCACCTGCAGTCTCACTGTCACACGAGTGTGCAGGCAAGTACTGATCCTGATCTCATATTGAGCGTGTGACCTTTTGTGTAACCATCTAGTTTGAGGAGAGTAACGCTGGTATTCCTGTTTTCCACCCAACAGAATGAAAGGTTTTTTATCAATGTGATGTACATGACAGAAAGTGGAAGAAAGGAGGCTCAGTTTTCCTGTCCAGTTGTGACCCTGAGGTCTGAGCATGGTAGATGGATTTTACTTCTTTAAAACGCTGTTCCATTTGCTCAAAGGATGTTTTTTCCAGTCAGTTATTTTAACTTTGTCTGACATTTGTCATGCTGCCCCTCAGAGTGCAACCTTCAGAGTGAATACCGCCTCCCCTGTGGGTCCAGCTCTATATCCCAGACAGAGTGCCTCTCCATGGGCTGCTGCTTCAACAAGCACCCCCCTGCCTGCTACTACCACATGGATGGTAAGCTTCACTCTGTATCCCTGCTGGCATTTTCACGCCACTTAGCTAAGTGCAGTTGAGCCGTTTTGAGGACAGGAAAGTAAGGACTGTAGCTGCTGGATGTGTGAAGAAGGATATTCAGGGTCAGCACAGTGTGATTCAAGCTGGCAGTGACAGAATCTTAGGTCCTGCCTAAGATCACTGGCCTCCTGAGATTTCTGACCTTTCTGTTCATGTGACCTTTTCATAACTGTGCGTTTGTGTGCATCCCCTTGCAGAGTGCACTATTGACCGCCACATGATTTTCTCCGTGCCTTCATCCCTCACGGACCCCCCTCTTTCTCCTACTCGGCTCGTCGTTGCCAACAACTCCACCTGCGTACCTCACAGAGCGACCGCTGACTACGCCTTGTTCAAAATCCCAATGGACAGCTGTGGGACCCGCAGAGTGGTGAGTTGCCTTATGAAAACGGAGTCGGAAAGGTTTTATTGTCATTTCAGCTAAGTACAAGTACATATTGAAACAAAACAGTGTTCCTCCAGGCTCAAAGTGCAACACAGAACATTTTGTGCAAAAATAATACAGTGCAGTGCAGATACACAACAATACAGTAAATACAGACCTATAATAAATGTAGAAAGGCATCTAATCTTATCTAAACAAGTATTTGAAGCCCCCAGTGTACTCCTGCGTACGTCCATACGTGGAGGAACGCACGTACGTACGCGGAGGTACGAGCGTACCCCCCAGGGCATGTTCGTGCAAAGCTCAATTTTTACGACTGCGTACGTGTACACAGTGTCGCACAATAAACTGCCCGGCAACGGACTGTTTTGTATGCAACACCAATGTATTAAATTCCCCTTCTTCATCCCTGATCTGACATTTTCTTTTGTTTTTTTGCCAAGAGGCAGCGATCTCTTCCTCCTCTGTTGATGCCATGACTGAAATGGTGAGAAATGAAGGAATTTGGCACGAGCGAATTAAACTCAGGTCCAGCGTGGCTGCGGGAGGGTCTGGAGATTTCCTGGTGGGCTGGTCTGATGTGTGGGCTGTAGAGAAAGCGTGGCCTTTTTTTTTTTTTTTTTAAATTAACAACATATAAACGCAGAACACCACTGCGGCTGAGGCTGCCAGCGCTTTTTTTTTTTTTCCTTTTCTGACCTGTCAATCAATCCAGTAGGCGTGTCAGCAAATGACCAATCGGCGACCTCTATTTGTCCCGAAGGTAAACGCCCCTTGTCTGTGGAGCTGCTCGGGGTGTACGCTGGAGTATGAAGTCTGAACCCTCTGCGTACAGTACACGCGCACGTACGCATGAACGGACGTACGCGGGAGTATACTGGAGGCTTTAGAGATGAGACTAGAGATACATGTTGATTAGTACATGTGCCGGTGGTACATGAGGTAGAAACGTGGTCTGATATGTGGTCAGCAGCACTTAGTTTAAATCTCTGCTGCTATAAAAACAGAAACTAAGTAAGGTGCAAAAATGCTAAACTTGTGCAAGTTGCAATAAATGTGCAAAGATGCAAGTAATAGACTTCAGTACTACAGAAGTGGAAATATCTGGAGAGGCAGGTGCAAAAAATGTGAAAATTGGAGCAGATTGCAGAAAGTAAAAATATATAATTTTTTAATACTAAATAAAGAGCAACATGATCAGAATTTTGGACAGTCTGATCTAGAGAAGTTTCTGTTGAAATATATTTTCCTTAAAAAATGCAGTACATTTATTCATTTTTTTCATCTAGAGTTAAAACTGTTGCATAGTGACATAAAGAGAGTCAGTTTCTTTGTCACTCACACCACATCAACATTAACAAACGGATCAGCAGCAACATGAAACAGATCAGCAGCAACATGTGATTTTTCACAGTGATTATTCTGATCAGAGATTCATGAGTCTAACAGCCTCAGGGTAGAAGCTGTTCCTCAGTCTAGTGGTTCTACACTTAATGCTCCTCAACCTCCTTCCTGAAAGGAGTGGGGCAAAAAGTGTGTGCTGGGTGAGTGGGGTCCTTCATGATACAGGTGGCCCTCTTCCTGCATCTGGAGGTGTAGATGTCTGTGATGGTGGGGAGGCTGACTCCAACATCTTCTGTGCAGCCTTCACCACTCTCTGCAAAGCTTTTCTTTCTGCAGCTGTGCAGCCTCCATGCCACACGTTGATGCTGGAGCACAGGGTGCTCTCCACTGCACACCTGTAGAAGGAGGTGAGGACTGAGCTTCCCAGACCAGCTCGTCTCAGCCACCTGAGGAAGTAGAGTCTCTGATGAACTTTCTTGATCAGGCTGGTGGTGGTGTTGCTCCAGCTGAGGTTGTCATTCATGTGTACACCCAAGTACTTGTAGCTGGAGACCACTTCCACTGCAGATCCTCCTATGTTCAGGGGGAGGTGTGTTTGTTCCTTCATCATCATCATCATCAACTTTTATTTATAAAGCACTTTAACACAGCCATAGCTGAAACAAAGTGCTGAAACATCAGTTAAAAACAAGATAAAAGACGGCATAAAAACAGAGCTACAAACCTTCTGAAGTCCACGACCGTCTCCTTTCTTCTTCACATTGATGTGAAGGTTATTCTCTTTGCACCAGCTCTCCAGATGTTCCACCTCCTGCCTGTAGCTGGACTCATCGTTGTTTGTGATGCATCCAACCACCGCTGTATCATCTGCAAACTTTACAATGTGACAGCCTGGATGGGTAGCTGCACAATCATACATGAACGGAGTAAACAGGGTGGACAGAGTAAAAATACTGGAAATAACACTTCTCAGAATAATAATGAAAATTATATATTCTTAATCCTCTATGAATTCCACATATGAGCACACGCATGTGGAGCAGAGGACTGCTAGACTCCTGGGGAGCAGCTGGTGGGATTAAGGGTCTTGCTCAAGGCAAAATAAGGTGTGGGTGCTCCACATTTTTGATAAAACTGTCGGAGAATTTGAACAGACGACCTCGATCAAAGGCTCGCCTTCTCTAACCTCTGCCACCCCCACGCCTCCACCACCTTTACAAGCTCTTAACTTTTAATTTAAGCTGGTGAAGCTTCCTAGTGTTTCTCCTAGGCTACTTGCCTATGGAGGGTGCTTGCTGTCCAAGGAAAAACCTTATCCTGTTTTTGTCATCAAAAGGTCAGTTTGCTTGTGACAGGTGTAAACTCAGCATGAAGTCTGTTTTAAAATATCTGCAGTAACAGACAGGGCCTTGCTCAGTCTGCTCTTTTAAATGTCTTGGTGGAAACGGTGAAGAGATATTTAGTTTTGTGAGAGAAACTGCTATAAACAGTATCGCACTACGATCAGATGATCGTTTGTGCCTCGTGGCTGGAAAAGTCCCTGCACAATGAGATTGTCCGTGAGACTAATCCAATAATGTGCATTAAAATCTTTTCACTCCACAGATCCTTGATTACATAGATTAATGAACATTTTGGAGTTTAAAGGTCAAAACTAATTCGGTCTAGGCTGCAGTTAGAAGCAAAAATTGTGCAGGCCTGAGAGGAATCAGTCGTTCAGACCCATTTCCAAAACGGATTGGAGTTGATCATTCGCAGTTTTTAACCATTTTTCTTGTTCATCCTAAAATACAGGGGGAAGTAAACAGCTATGTGCTGGAGTTTCCCCAGTGACCAGGTATCAAACTACTTCTGAACCTGTGGGAAATTTTCAAAAATTGACTCTTTACCATTATCAAAACATCCAATGGTATAAACTGTTCAAAGGGAACTTTTAGTCGTGTTTAGGGGCAGCTGTGGCTGAGTGGTTAGAGCAGTCGTCAGCCAATGCAAGAATTGGGGGTTCGAATCCACCAGCAGTCACATGCCGAAGTGTCCATGGGCAAGACACTGAACCCCTCATAGCCTCTGATGTGTCCCATCATTGTATAATTGTGATCTAAAGCTCTGACTAGTCTCTTTAGAATGATTTGTTCAATTAACTTTGTAGAGATCTAGTAGTGCTGTATGAATGGGTAAATGAGGACACAGATTGTTGTAAAGAGCTTTGAGTATCTTGATTAGATAGAAAGGCGCTATATAAGTACAGTCCATTTACCATTTACATGTCATTGATCAAGCAAAGACATTTTTTTTGTCTTTCATTTTGTTGCTGGATCATTCATTACACTCAGGCTCCTCAAACACTGACTTTTACTGACTATCGTCTGATGTATATAAAAACACTTTACTGTGGCTTGTAAACACATCAGTGTGTGGTTTTCTGTTTGAGATTTGTTTCTGGTCAGAGAAGCATTAAATAACTTGTTTTTTTAATCCCCTGGCAACTGTCGCATAGTTTTAATACAGGGCTATTCAAATGGCAGCCCAGGGGCCAAATCAGGCCCCACGGGTGAACTCTGTTCATTTTTAAATTAAAACTAAGTTTTAAACCATAAAACAAACTTCCTTAATGACAATAACTGCTGGATGTCCAGGACCTGAGCTCTTGGCTTTCAGTAACTGTGGCCCCCTGAGCAGTTAAGTTGAATAGCCCTGATTTACTATAATGCACATTCAACATTTCATTTACGTTCATCCTGGCAGGTGTTGGGCAAGACTGTAATCTATATATTGGAGGTCACCAACACGATGCAAAAAGTCAGACTGAACTACGGCACCATCACAAGAGATTCTCCTGTCAGGTGAGCTCTGGTTCTGGTCATTTCCCTGCAGTGACCGCAGTCAGTGGTTGCACTGTTGGAGCTCTGTCTGAGCAGTTTCTGTCAAACCTGGTGTCCACTGGGTCCTCGATGTATGCACCATGCCTGATGTCCAGCTTTACGTCTCTGTTCTCTTGTCCTTGGGCTTCGGTTTCATTGACGTATTATTTTGCTCTCAAATGCCATAACAGCAGCTGCTACAAAGTTTTTTCCTGCAGATAAAGCTTTTGTATCTTTATTCACCCGTCTAAAGTTGGATGCATTATGGCAGTGTTTTTCATCCTTTTGTGCCACAGTACTTATTTTAACATGAAAAAAAATCACACCACCAAACATTTTTTGAAAATGACATATCTCAGAAATATGAAAATATTAAATACTGTGAATGACTCTACAATTTTGTCACAGATCCAGTAAAGTCTTAAATTTTCTTCTTTAAATATTAACTATCGTCTTGTCACTGCAATCTTTCTCGCACGCTGCCACCTCTTGGTTTACTACAACTGGCATCCTTACTGCTGCACAAAGCACTTGGTCTGTCTCAGATTTCTAATTAACAAGGTCATAATTATTGTGCTTACTGCCGCCTGCTGGCAAGAAACACTTTGAATTACTTTAACATATAGCAAATGCTCAACTATACCAACTCATTTGTTGTGACTTATTTTTTTTACCAGTTATGTGAAATCAGATAATTTCCCATGGTGCACCTGATCTCTCACGACACAGATGTGGAAAATCACTGTATTATGGTATAGTCTCTGTCTTGTCCATTTGTATGTACGTAAACTTTCTCTAGTCCCACGCAGACTTCTAAACTGCTCAAGATAATTTAATGACATGTCGAATTTAATGTATCATCACTTAAGGGATGGTCACATGCACTTCATCATCCCAGCACCACTATCAAGGTCACAAATCAAGGTCAAAGTTTGTACAGTATCTTTGCTATAGAGCTGTACAGTGGTTTTGTTATGGGCATTTAACGTGGTGCATGTGGTACTCTAGTACTCTGGTTCTTATTGTGGTTTGTGACAACAGTAAAAAAAACATTCATGACAATGACAACAATCGATGTAAAATGAACTGACAAAGACGTTGGAAGCAGAAAGGATTTTAATGCTCTTATACAGACACTTGACACGTTGTTTTATTTTATTTTTTTATTTAATGTGGACCTTACTGACCAGTTAAAAATGCAGCAGCTGCTCCTGAAATGTTTCCAGTAAATGCTCAGGGACCATTGAAGCCAAGCTGGAGCATCTGTTTCTCAGGTTTATGGTCTGAGCGCTGCTCTTTGAGACATGCTGTCTGACCGTGTCAGAAACCAAATGGCTGTTTAAAGTTTATCTGAACCATCTGACTGGGGGCCAGAGCAAAAAGCCGATTATGATGGAAGATGGCTGCTAGTTGTGCCAGCAAATCCAGGCAGATAGAACAGCTTTCCTCTGCTCAGACTGTAATTATGGCTTTGCACTCGGGTCGTTTTCAGGTTGCTGGTGGAGTGCAGGTATGTGCCGGGAACAGTTCTGAGTGTCGGCTACGTGGTGAAAACACCAACTTTTGGTCCTGAAATTCATACTCGAGGTGTGTTTGGTGTTCAGCTCAGGATTGCTAAAGGTAATTTATCTTCACTGCTATAAACTTCACAACTTTTGTTACTGTGCATAAAAATAAAAGGGTTTCTCAAATCTTTTTCTTTTGTTCTGATCCCACCATGTAACGTTAGATGCCCAGTACAGCAGCTACTACCCACAGTACCACCAGCCCCTGCACATGTTGCTAGGGAAACCTCTCCACCTTGAAGTGCGGCTCCTCAACTCCCCAGATCCCAGTTTGGTGCTGCTGGTGCATTTCTGTGTGGCCTACCCCCGCTCTGGAAAAGCTGTGTGGGTGCTGCTTTACAACGGGTATGTCCAAAAAGGACGAGCATAAAAATATTCATGCATTCACAAAGGAGGATTCTGTTGCTGCTGTTTCTCTCAAACTGCAATCGGACTTTACCAGTTTGACTTGTGAATTTTGTATTCTCTAGTTGTCCTAACGCTTTGGACCCAGCGCCACCAGAAACCTTGCTCAGTGATCCCAAACCTCCATCTCGTCAGAGTCAGACACGCCGCTTCACCATTCGCACCTTCCAGTTCCTTCCTGATGGTGACTTCCAGGACGTAAATGAAGAGGTGAGGCTACGCAGAGAATTCTGAGCTGCAGAAATACCATTTGATACATCAAGTGGACATTTATGTCCGATACTCTCTTAGTTACTATTTAACTATTATAAACGTATATGTACCTTTTTATTAGAAATGGTTGCTTTTCATCAATAGTTAGTTTTATGTCTAAATATAGTTTGTGATCATGTATGTAAAAAAGTTTGATTGTAAATGACAAAGCCCACTCATATGAGTTCCTGGTTTCCATTTGCTGTCCCCTCAGGTCTACTTCATGTGTTCGACTGAAATCTGTTCACCACTTGATGGACCTTGTGTTGAGGGATGCTTTGGCCATTGACGGTGAGAAGACGTCTCGGATCATTCAAAGCATTCTAATGCACTCGAGCAGAAAGAATCCTCTGAAAACCTTGTAGCAAGCCTACTCACTGAAAACAGCCTGAGTTGGTCGTAGCTCAAGTTTCATATGACTAGGCCTGTCACGATAACAAACTGCTGGGCGATTAATTGTCAAATTATTTCGATAAACGATATTATTTGAAATTTGACAATAATTAGTAATTGTCAAAAAAAAAATTGAATTTGTTTTGCATGTAGTACTGAATACAGCACCTCAGACTGAAGTCTTTCGGATGAGAAGAAATGTTTCTACAATTTTTAATTTTTTTTTAATGTCCAGAGGACCAGATTTTAACTTTTTTTTTTGTTTGTTTTTTTTAATTCTCAGCTTCTTTTTGCAGAGAAAAACCAACTTTTTACACGAATGCACAGGTTTCAACCATGAATTTTGGAGCTCGACAAGACTGAGGTTTTACCCTGAGGTCTGTCTGCCTTTTAGCTTGTAGCTTAGCTGCTTTTAATAATCCAAAAACATGATTTTGGATGGTTAAAATGGATTTTAAAGAGAAAGGGAGGTGTCCGTGAAGAGCACTGGAGATGAGCCTTTTCTCATCCTGTCTTCAGTAGAAAGAGAGACACCAAGAAACGATGAAGCCAATAAATGAAAATGAGGTTGATCATTTTCATTTATCATGCGACTGATTTATTATCGCAACGGGCCTACATATGACAGCATGGTTTAACTCGAGGTGAATCATTAAAACAATGCCTTTTTTTTTTCTTTTTTTTTTCAGATGCGAGAAAGACGCTTGAAGTTGGGATGATCTAGTAGGTTAATAAATATCTTAAACCATTGCTTTTGTGTTGCATCTTCATTCTTTATTTATTGTTTACTTTTAAGAAGTAACTTGTCATCATACAGGAGTGTTCAAAAGAACTTGGGTCGACAACAATCTCTAGCAGCGACAATGGTGCAATTTTCAAATGTGCATAAAATAAAATGCATTCTCTCTTTTAGCAGCAACAGTTGTGCAAAATGTTTATATTGGTATATATGTGAACAAATATATATGTACATATGTTAATTCAGGTTCTCTGGACGGGTTCTTTGTGTTGAAACGTGTCGTCTTTCACCCAAAAGATTTCTTCAGTCCGAGGAGCCACAACAAACTCAGTCTTATAAATAGCAGCTTCACACAATGGGTCAACCAGTTTGATGGTGATAAGATGGTTTCTGGTGTCCGCCCTCTCCCCCGCCGACTCATTTGAAGCAGTCACAGCCAAAGTGGTTCAGAACATCAAAGTTCATGCTCAAGTTGGTCAGTTCATGACAGGTCTTTTGGATGAAATATGACGTGTGCTTTTGGACTTTTTTGATGATGTGGGTAGAGTTAAAGTCCAGCTCAGGTTCTCGGAGATGTGCAGACTGAAGAACCTGAATCTTAGATCGGTTCCACCTCTTCCTCGTTCATGCTCTTGAATCCAGTGCAGGTCTCAACTTTCAGAAGTTGATTTCTTTAGGGGTGGTTATTACACCAAGCTGCCAGCACCTGGACCTCCAGTCTGTTGTTGCTGATCAACCTCATGACCATCGTGTCATCAGCAAATCTGATGACTGAGTTGTTGGCAGCACAGTTGGGGGTGTACAGTGTGGACAAGAGCAGGATCTGAACACCAGTCCATAAACACTGGTGTTTGAACCTTGAACAGTTTCACTTATGAATCCAGTGCTTCAGGAAATATTTTCCTAACAAAGTTTACTCCAACTGTTGAGTGAAGCACTGTTTTGATGATTCTCCGCTACTACCACACTAAATTTTAACTCCATGAACTTGACGAGTACATCAATTACCAACACAAACTGTTAAAGTTGATTAGCTGTGGCTGCCATTTTGATTTGAAAAGTTGATCAGTTTTACAACCTCTGGCAAAAATAATGGAATCACTGTAATCTGTTCTAAAATAAACACCTGTCAGATTAAATGTAGTCTTCAGTTAAAAAGTGCTCTCACACTGGAGCTGCTGCACAAACGGGACATGAATCATGGCTCCAACATAAGATGTCACATGTCAGTTTAAACATAGGTGAGGATTATGACTTCAAGAAGTAAATCAAAAGATGTTGGATGTTCTCAGTCGCATCTAAAATCTGGACTACTACAAATGAAATGGGAAGATCATAAAATAAATGTATGCTGGCAGATCAAGAACAATATCGAGATGGAAAACTGAGAAGCCAGCGTTAAGAATGGAAACGGCTCAAATGAAACTACAGAAATGTCATTTCCTGTGAAAATGCAGTGACCGCTGCTTTTTAAATCATTTCTGCTGGAAGCTGCTGAATTCGCTGAAACCAGGAGGTCGAAAAGCGTTCAGCACTAAACTTTGTCAGCTGAATTTGAACAGCTGACATTTGATGAAACAGGAAAAGACAAACAGCAGAAACGTGTTGGAAAAAGCTGAATAGAGCAAAATCAGTTCAGAGAGGCTGTAAAGATTCCAAAAAATCTGAAATTGGCGACAACAAAAAACATGAAATGAGCAGAAAATGCTGAAATTGAAAAAAAGTAACTGAAACTGACAAACGCTGAAATGAACAGAAAGAGGCTGAATGGAGCAATTAAAAAATGGAATAATAAGAAGCACAATTCATTTCAGTTTTACAGTTGAAACCAGAAGTTTATATACACAATTTAAATACATGTATGCGTTTTTTCACACTGACCAACCTGAAATTAATAGTTTTCTCATTATAGGTCAGTTAGGATAATCTATTTTTTTTTTCTATTTGCAAAATGCCAGAATGAGAGTGAGAATTTTTTAAAGGCAATTTGATTTTTTTTTTCAATCAAAAGTTACACTGCCCTACAATCTAGCTGTTTTTGTTACATTTTCTTTTAAATACCATTTTGTTTTCACTTGTTAAAAAAATATCTCAATTTGTATGCATCCTTTATGATGGTCTATTGTTGGCCACTGTTGTCGTCACTGTTTGTTAAAGAAATCTAGTCTCTCGTAAATGAGTCGCCGAGGCTCAGTGGGATTAACCTGTTTAAATAAAGGTTGAATGAATTAAAAAATACATACTAAGATTATTATGCCTTTAAACAATTTGGGACATTTGCCGTCACGTCTTTGGAAGCTTCTGATAGGTTTATTGATAACATCTGAGCTAATTAGAGACACACCACTTCCTTGTGTAACATCATGGGAAAGTCATAAGAAATCAGCCAACATGTCAGGAAGAGAATTGTGGACTTGCACAAGTCTGGTTCATCCTTGGGTGCAATGTCCAGATACCTGAAGGTGCCTCGTTCATCTGTGAAAAAAATTATATACAAGTACAAGATGGGAATGTCAAGCCATCATACCGCTCAGGAAGGAGACTGGTTTCTGTGTCCCACAGATGAACGTGCTTTGGTCTGAAATGTGCAGATCAACCCAAGAACAAAAGCAAAAGACCTGGTGAAGATGCTGGCTGAAGCTGTAAGAGTGTGTTGTTAAACACAGTGAAACTATCGACATCAAAAGAAACATCAAAAAGCCAGATTAATGTTTGCAAATGCACACGGGGACAAAGACCTTAACTTTTGGACGAGTCCTGTGGTCTGGTGAAACTCGAACTGAAATATTTAGCCATAACGACCATCGTTACATTTGGAGGAAAAAGCCTGAGATCACCATCCCGACTGTGAAACACGGGGGTGGCAGCATTATGTTGTGGGGTTATTTTGCTGCAGGAGGGACTGGTGCACGTCACTAAACAGATGGCATCATGAAAAACATGGAAATACTGAAGCAACATCTCAAGACATCAACCAGGAAGTTGAATCTTGGGCGTAAATAGGTCTTCCAAATGGACAGTGGCCGAAGCATCCTGCCAAACTGGTTACAAAGAGGCTCAAGAAGAACAAAGTCAATGTTTTGGAGTGACCATCACAAAGCCCTGATCTCAGTCCTATTGAAAATGTATGTATGAGCAAGGGTTAGGCCCAGTTCCACCAGTTCTGTCAGGAGGAATGGGACCAAGTTCCTGCCAACTATTGTGAGAAACTTGTGGAAGGAGATCCAAAACATTTGACCCAAGTCAAACAGTTTAAGGACAATGGTACCAAATACTAATGAGGTGTATTTAAACTTTTGACCTAGAAGAAATAAAAATTGCATAAAAAAATCCTCACACATTCTTCTGGCATATTGCGCATAGAAATAATTTTTGATAATCCTAATTGACCTAAAACAGGAAAAGTTTATTCTGATTTCATGTCGGTGTGAAAAAAAAATGCAGAGGTGTCTTTTTAAAGGGTGTATGTAAACTTCTGGTTTCAACTTTATATAGTGCCATGGCACAACAGAAGTTGTCTCGGGGTACTGCACAGAAACATTCATGTACATTAAAAAAAATGCCAATTAGTAAAGTTCTCTTTTTAAGGAAGCAGCAGATTCTGTTGAATTTTCTATTGGAAGAAAGAAAACACAAGGATAAGGATATAAAAAAAATACAAACAAAAACAGGTGGAGTAATAAGTAAAGACGTCAGCAGAGTGAAGAAATGTGGTCAGTTTGTCCTCCA